ACTGATTAGATTCTGAGCTTGCCTCTTTCGCACAAAAAAGACATTTTAGGCTGATGACTTAAGAGGTACTATTTATATGGGTTCCAAGAAACCCTAGCTCATTGGGCTCTAGGTTCCTTGGGCTCTTCTCATACTAATAACTCATTTGGGCTTTAGTAAAAGAGCAAACCCAACAATCATCTCCTCTTCTGGAAACGGTATCAATGCTCAGCCTAACCAGCAGCCTTCGAGTCGAGTTCCTTAGTCGATTTGTTGAGATATATAGTCTCACATTGGTTGTATGTGCAACTAATGTGGAGTTTATAAGACCTAGGGCACTCCCACCCTTTGAGCTAGCTTTTGGGGTGATGTATCCCAAGATTCTTTACATGGTATCATAGCCTCGCCGCCCCCACTTTCTCTTGTGGCGTTTCTTAGCACAGGTAGGCTGGGCCTGTTGCATTGTCCACTCTTTAAGCCCAATGGGCTCTCATGTGAGGGATATAGTCCCACATTGGTTGTATGTGCAACTAATGTGGAGTTTATAAGACCTTGAACACTCTCACCTTTGAGCTAGCTTTTGGGGTGGTGTATCCCAAGATTCTTTACACGATTCCCCCCAAGGTTGGATAAAACTTAATGTAGATGCATCAGTAAAGCCAGGCTCATCCTTTGCTTCATGTGGAGGACTCCTTAGGGACCAAAATGGTAAATGGATTACTGGGTTCCTCTACAAGATTGGCATTTGCTCCCCTTTTATAGCTGAGCTCTGGGCTATTTACAAAGGAATTAGAGTTGCTTGGGATCGCAAAGTGACTCAGCTGCTAGTGGAAAGTGACTGTCAGTTAGCAATCCAAGCTATTAACTGTAGTTCTGAAATGGTGGCAACCATCAGCTTGTTGATAGTATTAGAAGCTGGGGTAGGAAGGAGTGGATAGTCGAGTTCGTTCATGTCAGTAGGAATAGTAATGTTTGTGCTGATCTTCTTGCTAATTTAGCTTCTTCTGCAAAGGAGGATTATGTTTTGTTGTTTAATGCTCCTGATGAGCTGGGTCCTTTACTGGACTCTGACTATGTTTATTTGTAATCTCTTTTTCTTTGGGTTGTTGCCCCTTTGGAATACTTAAAAAAAAAAGACTATTTATTACAGTATAAGGGTTTGGTTCACACCCTTTTTTGAAACTTGGTTTTTTGTATATAATGATTTCATGGATTTGCGGAGAAGGGTTTGTTTCATTCCTTTCTGTGTTGGCAAGGATGCACTGGTGGAGCCACTTGGTAGGCACTGATTGATTTTCAAAAATACTACATATTTTCTTAAAAAATTATAGCATGACTTTGGTATTAGTTAGGTTTTTAAAAATAATACAAATTTGTACTCGCTGAATTTTACTAGTTGGATCTTTTGACATTAACTGAGTTTTTTCCCTAACTCTGCCTCTATTGGCAAGGCTAGTATTTCTTGAATAGCAGAGGAAATGACTTTTATGGGTCAGCACTTATACTTATTTCATTGGGTGATTTTTTTAATTTCATGTTTCAGAAGTACTTAAAAGTTTTGTAACAAATGGTGTCAAAAAGTATGTTAAGTCTTTGCTAATAGAAGTTTTGTCCAAAATGTGTACTTTAGACCTTGGTTTAAGCTCTTTACATAAAATATGCAGTTTTGTTAAATAAACATGTGACATGTGCATCATGGGGTCAAATTCATGGTTGAGTCAGCACAGCACTACTTTGAACAGAAGAGCGTGGAATGAATTTATCAATTTAATGACACGCTGATTTTGGTCGGGGGGTTTGTTTTTATTGACGTCGGTTTAAGTCAAAAGGCTGAAAAATATTACTCGCCAAATGTTTTGAAAACAAATGCTAGTTTCCCATTACTTTGAAAACAAACCTTTTGATTTCACAAAAAGAAAAGAAACGTTTTGATTGGGTTGGGGTAGTTGTTGGGTGTTGATTTTATGCTTGAATGTGAAGAATGTCTTCATTCAACAACCCAAGCACCACCTTTTCTTTACAACCTGACTGCCGCAGAATCTATAAACTAGGATTCCTTTCCTACCTCAACCTCCCCTTTTTCTATTGTAAATATTGCAAAACCATTCTGATGGTCAATCCATGCCCTACATTTCAGGAAATTTCAGACAGATTTCGCTTGACTAATTTGTCTACAAAATGGAGAAAAATGGCAAGTCTTAGTTATGGTTGCACGTTACATCACTTTAATGATTATTAAATCATACATAAATATATGGATTCTACTTTTATTATTAAAAATGTTTGACTTTTTTTACAATTATTATTACATATGATTGCATGCTAGTTTACACAAACTAAAAAGTATCTTGTAATTTTTTTGGTAAAATTTAAAAGAAAAAATATTTAGGAAGATATTTAAAATCATAAGAAATATATGCATACTTAATTTAGGTAGGACTCAAAAAGTATAGATTGAAAAATTAAATTAAAATTTTAAAATTAAAAAGTATTAAGAATGACATGTGTCAGTTAGCCCGTTGCGAAAAATTTTCCACTACTGCCTCCCAACAAAAGGGTACATGTACCCGAAACTGACACAGGTGGGTAGTAGAGAATATCTAGAGACGCGAGACAACTCTCTCTGAGGAACTTGCCAAATTAGCCCATATCCGCGAAGAATTACGATAGAGCAATTTATGAATGTCTCCGCAGTGGACTTGATTTTGCGAAAGATGATGAAAATGTGAATTCTTAACCATTTATGCGTTGGAGAGTCATTCTTTAGGGAATGTTTGGTAAAGAAGAAATTTTTTTATGCCTGAGAATCACGATTAATAGGAATATGTTGGAAAAATGAATTTTTCATAAATGTGAGAAAAAAACTATTTGGTTGGGCAAAATATTACCAGAAATGTTGGGAAAGTGAATTGCCTCAACTGTACTGCTAAAGAAGAAAACAACAAAATAGACTTGACACTAGCCTCCTCACCACCGCGCCACTAGCGTGGGAAGAAGAAGGCAGCAATATGGATTTGGCGCTAGAGACGCCACAAAGATTAAAAGTAATGAGAATCCAAGAATACCACCTCTATGTGATATTCTTGGATGACATTTTAGCTTAAAATTGTTCAAAAATTAGAATCCTATGAAAATCAAATTCCTGATAATTTTTTTAAAATTCTTGTACCAAATGTGGCTAAATAAGATTATCAATTTCAATTTTTCGAAAATTCAAATTTTTTCTTTGTACCAAACGCTCCCTTAATAGAGAATAGAAGAAATAGTTAGTTGCTCTCAATTTTAATTTTATGTTTAAGATTGGAGCAGCTGAGATTTGTTAAAAGAGAGAGATAGAGATTTAATGTAAAAATAAATAAATTTAAAAAGAAATAACTCGAGAGTAAAATTTAAAATGCGGGATGGAAATAAATTTTGATATGAAAATAAAAATTTAAAATTAATTATTTTGAGAATATAAGTAATTGAGATATATAAAATATTAACGTAAAAAGAAACAACTAAAATAATCAATAATTTAAGAACTTTTAAAAAATATAAAATATATAGTAAATAATGGCAAAATCATATATACGTTGCTTACCCAAAAAAGAAAAGGGTCATATATACGTCTTAAGATAAATAAATTATAATACGAAATTATCTTATTATTAAGAATTTTGATTCTATTTCATTATATAGGGATGAATTCATCCCTTATATATAACAGCTTAAGAATATGGTTTTTTTAATTTAATTGTTCATTTTTAAGAGAGATTTTGACGTATTAAAATAAAAACTACTATGAAATGGAGCTGATCAGAAAATATTGGTGCGGTGGACTGCTTCTAGATGATCTTGCATGTGTCTTTTATTATAAGCATTCTTTATTTTTTAGTAGTCAGAGTTCTTATATTTTTCACTTTACACTTTCTTTCTTTATTTATTTTTTTAAAAAAATAACCATTGTGTATGTAATTGGACCTTACTAAATATTAGAGTAACACTAGTTTCGCGAAAACACATGCAAAGTTGGAGATTACTGGTATACACGTGATTAAAAATATGTATTTTTTCATGAACAGGGTACATAAGTTGTTCTACACGTTAAATAGAACGACTTTGAATTTTTAAATAGAACGACTTTTTTATGTTAACTCAATTTTGAATTTACAATTTGACGTTCCCATGTGGACAATGTTTTATATAAACAATGATATTTAAGTATAACCTTACGCGTTTACCTCAGCAGTATAAAAGGCTAAAAAATAAAGGTTTTATTAGTGTTATGTTACATGATTTAAGTGTTGTTTCCAACACACATAAAAAAATGGAGAGAGAGAAAGTGGAATGATGAAAGAGAAAGAAAAACATGTGGACTTCACCTCTTTAATGTGTGTGTAGAAAAGTGATGTTATATCATGTTACATGATAAACATAAAACCCAAAAAATAAATGGGATATGATATTCTGTCTTTCTTTCTTTTTCTGCTTATTTTTTGCCTATTATTCTCAAATATCATTAGATGATCACAATCTCAAAAGGAGAGGGAAAGATAAATATTAATTAAGATTTTAATTTAATGATATTTTAAAATGATAGAGAAAAGTAAGCCGAAAAAGAGATAGGTGGAATCGAAGTAGTTAAAATTGAGATTTTATGTAAAATCGAAAAGGGGATAAAAAAATCGTGAAACGTAATATAGAAAAATCATAAAAAAAATGTAAAAACATTTGAAATATTGATAAAATCGTTTTGATGAAAAAAAAAATCATAAAATCATAATAATAAATCAAAATTTTAACTTCCGTGCAATAATCTATATCAAAATAAATATATATCACATCAGGATTAGGTGAGGCAGAATCCTTTATAAAAGCCACATTTTGGTCACATTGCTCTGTGCCACTTTCAGTAAGCAGCATCTCCCGTATTCAATTGAGCACATTGATCTCTGTCCCCTCTAGAGTTCTTCCCATTTTTTTCTCTCTCATTATCTAAAGATTCTTTGTTTCTTTACCAATTAAGAAGGAACATACAGAGCCATTGAATATGCCTGCTGACACTTCTTCAGTTTCTGACCAAACCGTGTGTGTCACTGGCGCTGGTGGGTTCATAGCTTCTTGGCTCGTCAAAGCTCTCTTAGAGAAAGGCTACACTGTCAAAGGAACCGTGAGAAACCCAGGCATGCTATTATTGCTTGCTACATATATATATATATATATATATATATATATATATATGTGCTCATTACATATGATATGACATGACATGTCTCGCTTGCATGTTAAATTTGCTATGTTTAAGGTTGTTTGATTAGCTGATATTTATGTTATTTTTTTGACATGGGCATGCGTGGATTCATCAGATGATCCGAAGAATGGTCACTTGAAAGAGTTGGTAGGAGCAAGGGAGAGGCTAACTCTGCATAAAGTTGATCTTCTTGATGTTGAGTCTATTAAAGATGTTGTTAATGGTTGTCATGGTGTCTTCCACACGGCCTCACCTGTCACTGATAACCCCGTGAGTTTTCTATCTTTTCTTTCTTTCTTTTTCTTTTTCTTTTTCCTCTCTCTTTCATGTTTTGTAATTTGATTATCATTATGTGTTTTCTCTCTGTTTTCCACATTTTGATATTGCTATAAAGTGCTAGAAAATCTAAACTTACTTCCATACCTTATCATGATCAAATTGGACCCCTGGTGGATCCCACCACCAACATTTTTTTTTTCCACGTTCTGAGATTGTGATAGACTCGAATATATATATATATATATATCATTTAACATGATTAGTTGATGTGAAGCGATGTCATTTTTATTTATTTATAAATAAATTAATGGCTATCTTTTCATTGTGTCTATCCTAACACTTTCTTTCTGTTGTTTATGGATGCCATTCTTGTGATGAACACACATTCCCTTAACACTGAGCCCCACACTTCACCCAATTTTTTGTTGTTGTATTTGCTTTCTATGCAAATTTGACTCTATATAAAACTGAATTAACTAATCACATAAACAGTAATTGAGATGAATCCTTTGTGGCACTCAGGAAGAAATGTTGGAGCCAGCAGTGAATGGAGCCAAGAATGTGATAAAAGCAGCTGCAGAAGCAAAAGTGAGACGCGTGGTGTTCACTTCATCAATTGGCACAGTGTATATGGACCCCAATAGGAGTAGGGATGTGGTGGTTGATGAGTCATGCTGGAGTGATTTGGAGTACTGCAAGACCACCAAGGTTCAATTTAACTACTAAATTATCAATGCACTCTAATGTCAACAAGTTGTAACTTTTGTTGGTTATAAATTCATTGACTTAAGTGACATGCTATCTAATATATTGAAACAAGAAATATTAGTAACATATTTGTCACTATTTTTAGATAAAATTATATGATATTATGTACCTTTTAGGTAGAATCTAAAGGCTTTAATACAAATCTAGTCATATACGAAACTGGAATGCTAGAAATGGGAGTTTTAATAATTAAATGAGAATATAATATGTATTGGGTATAATAAATGGTTAATTAATCTGCAGAACTGGTATTGTTATGGGAAGACCGTGGCTGAACAAGAAGCATGGGATTTAGCAAAAGAGAAAGAGGTGGACTTGGTTGTGATGAACCCAGTTTTGGTTCTAGGACCATTGCTACAACCTACCATTAATGCTAGTACAATTCACATCCTCAAGTACCTTACTGGCTCTGCTAAGACTTTTGTAAATGCAACTCAGTCTTATGTAGATGTTAGGGATGCAGCATTAGCTCACATTCTTGTTTACGAGACACCTTCTGCTTCTGGTCGATACATATGTTCTGAAAGTTCTTTGCATCGTGGTGAGCTAGTTGAAATTCTAGCCAAGTACTTCCCCGAGTACCCTATTCCTACCAAGTAAGTATTTGTTATGTTTCTATTATTGTTGTGATTCCTGAACAAAATCCAAAGAATAAAAAGCAGATACAATTAAATGAAAGATTTTGCTATTCTGTGTACCACAACTTCTAAATTGTATAAAACTATTGGGGTTTGCATATAATAAGCAAGGGGAAAGTAGTTCTTATGTGACTGCAGAAGGGAAAAAGTGCAGCAACACTTACTTTTATCAGGATATGCGTCCGAATCCTGATTTATTTTTATTTTTTTATAGAATCCGCACGTGTATTCTAGGATCCGCACGTGTATCCTAGTGTTAAAAATTTGCTGCAACTTTTCTCATCACAAGTCATGAGAAGCGACGGACCCAATAAGTAACTACCAGAATTAATTTACTTGAAAAAGTTTATATTATAGGAGAGGGATGCAAAATATACAAATTAAATCCCACAAAAAATGCTTCCATTAAACTCTCTTTTTTCTTCTATCATACCAAACAAGAAATGGGTGCACTGAGTTTTACTTTTTATCATTAATTATTGATGAGATGTTATGTTTTCTTGGTTTGTGACATGGAACATAAATATATAAATGTTAAGCAGTATGAGGATGGATGCAGAAAGGTAGGGCTGTAGGTGTACCACCTTTGACTTCTTTATGTGTTTCCAACCTCTACCCTAAGGAGAGCAGAGTCAAATTGAAATCCAAGAATTCAATGATTTTATAGGTGAAAACTAGTGGAACTTACAAATCTTTACCAAACCCTTGTCCTTGTCAGACACAAGGACTTGAGCCCTGAGAGTGTATCGGATCTTTTACCTACCTCTTTTCTTTAATACAAAGGCATGCTTAGTCATCTATTAATAAATTATATATTTTTTTAAAGAAAATTGAGAGAAGGATGGGTTAAGTTACCTGCTTTGATAACTTGCTCAGAAGAACATATCATATATTGTTGGGGAACCTACAAGCCCAAGACCAATGCAAAGCTTCTTACATCTAGGCATATATCCACTCTTGCTTTGAAATTTTATTACATAGATTTTTATTAGTAACAAAAATTTCATCTGAAGGGTGAATTGGTGTACCATAATCTCGATGTACCAAAACATGCAAAAGTGAAGAATTTAGATACTATTGCTAACTTATGTTAATAATTTGGGTTTGTGATTTTTACATAATATTTCACTTGTGCAGATGTTCAGATGAAAAGAACCCAAGAGTGAAACCCTATGTGTTTTCAAATAAAAAGCTTAAAGATTTGGGATTGGAATTCACCCCAGTGAAGCAGTGTCTCTATGAGACCGTCAAGAGTCTACAAGAGAAAGGACACCTTCCTGTCCCCACAAAGCAAGAAGACTAAGTTAACATATCATATATTTGGCTGTAATATATCAACTAGTTTAATTCAGGACAAAGAAGTTTTTTCCCCCTCAGTTTATGTGAAATTAGAAAATACTAAGAAGTACGTATTTGGAATTTGTTATACATATCATGCAAATTGTTGCCTCGTGTAAAACTGATAATATTAATGGATTTTTTTCCCACCTTTTTTAATTTTATTTTCTTCAAGTTGTTTTATCTTTTTTCTGTCTAAGCCTCCCTCCGAAGTCCAAACAATTTTTTCGGTACAATTCGAACTCTGTAAACATTGACATTCAATTTGTTTATATTCACTGAGATTTCGTATTTAGTACAACTAAAAATGAAATTAACAGGAAAAATAAAAAAGATTAATCATAGAGTGGCACGTCTATTTTTATTCTTTTATCTGTTTTGTTCCTCTAGAAAGAGGCCATATCGTTTACCAAAAAAAAGAGAGGCCATATGAACCTCATTATTTTTTCCTCCAAGATGTTTAAATAATTATACCAACTTCGTTACTCCAAGTCCACATTCTCCACAAATTTCTCTTTCTACATTACGTTAATTTGAAATCTAAAACTTCAGGAACTTTTTATCTTTAATCAATGGTCTTATATATAAAGTCTTATGCAATATTAGTTAAACTAGCTGGGAATATGTGGGAAAAGGATAGTTAGCGGAAGAGTATTCTTTTTTTCTTTTTGGTAAACGGAAAAGAGAAACCTGGTTATACAATGGAACATGAGAAGCTGGTTGATTCTTCAACATGTGTAGTAGTTGACTGACCAATATAGAAGACAGAGAATATTAAATTTGATTTATGGGTTTATTTTGTCTGTTGGTGTAGGTGATGTTGGATCTTCTATCATGTAATTAACCTCAGTTTCAACTTTTAAAGTGCTGGCTAAAAGATTTGAGCAAGTTGTGGCAACTACTACCAAAGGAAAATTCCAATTTTAAAAATTGCTGCCTATGGACATCTTTTGACTTGCACTCTGAAATCACTAGTTGTTTTCTTCGTGTTAATATAATTAGTCACATGTGACTTTAGAGAATGACATCAAGAAAGCTGTAACCATCTGTAATCAAGCCTTTATTTAAGGCACCTTTATTAGGAGATTCTGTTAATATGTTAGGATTATTAGGAGATTCTGATCAGTTTGTAATTGCTCTTTATTAGGAGATTCTGATCATCTGTAATCAAGCCTTTTTATTTAAGGCGCCTTTATTACGAGATTCTGATTTTTGTAATCAAGCCTTTATTTAAGGCTGCAATCTGTAAATGAAAAGTGTGCATTTCAATTCAAACAGTTTTTGTTTTGGTATCATGAGCCTATCGATCTAGCTTCCTTATTTTTCCTTCTTTCTTCAATTTTTTTTTTCAGCCAAGAACCATGGCTGATAGAACGTTCAAAATAACCATGGCTGATAGAACGTTCAATTTTTCTTCGCTCCGGTTGCACATGCTTTAACCATTCCGGCTGATGGAGACACCAAAGGTATTGCGTCTCTGGCTGACCTTACTCCAGATGTGGTTCAACGATTGCTGACCATAGTTGATTCTTCCAAACCACCTTCTGAAAAGCTATCTGGTAATGCTTGTACACCTTCTTCTTGGCTTATTGACAGTGGTGCTTCTCAACCATTGTTGTTAAAACGTAGTGTCGAAACATTCTACGTTTTAATGACCAAAAACGTGTCAAAACGTTGGTTGAAACGAATTTTGGATTGAAACGGTTGAAACAGCGAGTCAACTCGGTAAACTCGGTTGACTCGGTGAGTTTACCGAGTTGACTCAGTTTTTTTTTTTAAAAAAATAGGGGTATTTTTGTCAAATCACGTCATCCCCAACTTAAAACAAAAAAAAAACCCTACCGCTCATTCATCCTTGCGTACGCGTTGCTGACTGCTGAGTTCCTGCTGGCTTGCTTTTTCCGGTTTTCCCCCAAAAACAAAAAACGCGCTGCTTCTTCAATTCTCCTTCATCAAGCGAGGTATTCTTCTTCTTGTTTATTCTTGCTTGTTGCGTCTTCACTCTTCAGAGCACATTTTTCTTCTTGTTTCTTGCTCATTTTTCTTTGCTCCTTTTTTGCTTTTGTACAGTACCAAGTTTTTTTAATAATAGAAGTATGGGTGATGTATCCTCTTCAAATCTAACACGCCACCATCTTTTCATACTGATATTAATAATTTAATATAGTTGAATATTCAATATTGAATTTTTATAATTTTATTTTTTAATTTTTTAATTTTAATACAGATCTAGTTTTTTATTTATAATAAAAGAAATATTGAATTTCCTAAAGTATTTGATATTGTTTGAAAGTAGAAATATTTGACTGTATTTAATTTTTATAAATATTATTGAAAGTAGAAGTATTTAATTTTAATTCAAATCTAAACAATGTTTTATTGTTTTATTATTAAAAATGATCCAAATTTAATTTACACGTATGTTTCACTCTATGTAACCACTGAGAATTTTATTCCAGTAAAGTAATAGGAAGATTTCAATTTTATTGCATGATGTTGAGCAAAACAGAAAACTAAATTCAATTTTATTGTAATGACTTATATATTGGTGTGTTTTGGTTATATATATGTTGGATATATTTTATTTTTTTGGTATGGAGTAAACTCTTACGTTTCGTTTACGTTTTTCGATTTTACGTTTTTACGTTTTTGCTTCCCCCTACCGTTTCAGCGTAGACTCTACGTTTTAACAACATTGTTCTCAACACATGACTGGTAACCTTGCCTATATGATCGATATTCATCCTATACCTCCTTGTCCTGTTGGTCTTCCAAACGGCATGTGTACATATGATGTTAAAAGTGGAAGTATTATTTTAACACCTTCGTTGGTTTTAACCAATGTGCTTTATGTTCCATCTCTTACATGCAATCTTATTTCAGTCTCCCAATTAATAAAATCAAATACTTGGTATGTCCTTTTCGCTAATAGCCATTGTATCCTACAAGACCGTCACTTGAGGACGACGATTGGAAGGGGTGATGAACACGAAGGGGTGTATGTGCTGAGATCTTCTACTATTTCTCAAACATCAACACATGCGGTGCAAGCTAAAAATTCTTCTCAGTTGTGGCATCGAAGACTTGGCCATCCCTCTAGACACTATTTATCGTTGCTTTCGTTTATTTCAAATTTCAATAATACTGGCCATTGTGATGTCTGTTCTAGGGCCAAACAATCTCGCAGTGTTTTTTCGGTTAATAAAAAAAGTTGTTTGAATGCATTTGATTTAATCCATTGTGATCTTTGGGGGCCATACCGTACTATTTCTTCTAGTGGTGCCCGATATTTTTTAACTGTGTTGGATGATTATAGCCGTAATGTCTGGATATTTCTCATGCATGATAAAGGAGAAACGTACTTCCACATTCGCAATTTTTTAACATGGTCTCTACTCACTACAAATCATCGGTGAAATGTCTTCAATCCGACAATGGCTCTGATACCATAACAAAAACTGTTTGAATTGAAATGCACACTTTTCATTTACAGATTGCAGCCTTAAATAAAGGCTTGATTACAAAAATCAGAATCTCCTAATAAAGGCGCCTTAAATAAAAAGGCTTGATTACAGATGATCAGAATCTCTTAATAAAGAGCAATTACAAACTGATCAGAATCTCCTAATAATCATAATATATTAAGAAAATCTCCCAATAAAGGTGCCTTAAATAAAGGCTTGATTACAGATTGTTACAGCTTTCTTGATACGCCCCCTCAAGTTGGAGCATGGAGGTATGAAATGCTCTCCTTGGGCGAAAACAATTCCAATCTTTACTGTCCAAGTTGGGCATTTCATACCTCCATGCTCCAACTTGAGGGGGCGTATCAAGAAAGATGTAACAATCTGTAATCAAGTTTTTATTTAGGGCACCTTTATTAGGAGATTCTGTTAATATGTTAGGATTATTAGGAGATTCTGATCAGTTTGTAATTGCTCTTTATTAGGAGATTCTGATTATCTGTAATCAAGCCTTTTATTTAATTCTGATCATCTGTAATCAAGCCTTTTTATTTAAGGCGCCTTTATTAGGAGATTCTGATTTTTGTAATCAAGCCTTTATTTAAGGCTGCAATCTGTAAATGAAAAGTGTGCATTTCAATTCAAACAGTTTTTGTTAACGGAGGAATCCAAAATTCTTGAGATTCTTTTATCAATAGACCAAGCAACAAACCACAATAAATGAATCGACACCACATCTGAATCCAAAATCTTAAGAGAGCGTTTAGTATAGGAGATATTTTTTTATCTGGAAAAAAAGATTTCTGAGAATATGGTGGAAAATATTTTTTCCCGGGTAAGTTACAAAAAAGTGTTTGGTAGGCCAAAATTTTATTTGAAAAGTTGGGTTAATTTTACTGATTTATATTTGGTTTGTAGTAAAATATTGATGAAAATTTGAACCAAAATGACAAAATTATCCATCATTTTGACACATATGTTATTTTCTTTTCAGGTCATTTACCAAATGAAAACATGTTTCCCAGTGTGGGGAGAAAACAATTCCATGGGTAATGTGGAATTTTTTTTTGCCAATGTGTAGTTCAAAACCAGATTGATGGGAAATAAATTATACCTAAGACTTTTTTTCTTTTAGTCATGCCAAACATGGTAAACTAATTTTCTCCATCCCAAACAACCAGGTCTATAAATCTTTTATCCTCACTTAGTTCAATTCTAACCAATATAGAACTTCTTTATAACTCACACTTAATATTTCTGGTTATTCAAACCTTTGTTTCACTTTCTTATGCAAAAAAAAAACAATGAAGATTATTTGTAGCTTGTGTATGAAAACTTTAAGCTGCAAACCTTGATAGCAGGCAACAAGGCCAAGTGCAATCTATAACCATTTCCATCTGAATAGGGGTCGGGGACATCCAACAACGTGGGGACAATAAGTGACTTTTAGTAAGTTCAATTATCATTCTCGAAATGGAAATTTGCTTACACTTTAAAAATCCCAAATGGTGCCTTAAACTTTTTTAGAGAGGCAGCTTGGACACCACGCAGTGGTCCACTATTTTCATCCATGGTCCATTCCAAGTAGTTCACTACGAAACTTTATTTTGGGAGAAAATGGGATATTCCAGAAAGAAAAATACAAAGATAATAGTACTTTAATGTGGTATGATAGGTGACAATAGGAAGAGTCGAAGATAGGACAAAGGGTCTTTCTACACAAATGCTCACTTCTATTTTAAGAAAAAAGCTGTTAAGATAGGCATTACATTTAACAAAAAGTTGCATTCTACAGGAACCTCATGCATCACATGCAGTTCCCACAAACAAAAGCTTTAATAGGTGCTAATACAACTTAATCAAATATTTCTCATTCAAGTTCTGCTGCTGGACTACTTCTTTGTGGCAGTTGCATGCTTACTATGTCTTCTCTTGGGAGACAATACATTGATCCATTGCCTTGTTCATTTGCCATTTGTTGATCTTCTTCCGGTGTAGTAAGTGACAAAAGGTGTGTAGCCTTTCTATTTTTGCGAAACACTAGATATACAATACCAGCCAAATATACTGCCACACCCGAAAATCCTATTATCCCGAGAAACACCTTAGCAACAAATTTTAAGTGGCTATGAAGAAGCAAATTGACGAAGCTATCTAATAAATAGTATATATTTATGGCCATGAGGAGGAAACCAATGATCCAAGTAACAGCCGAAATCTGCAATTAAAGAATTTATAGAAAATCTTATATCAGATAAGATGCAGAACATAGGTCTTTTCTGACATGTAACTTTGGTGCATGAAGCAATAGCAGCTCTTTTAAATTCATTTACTTCAAGAATTATGGCTAATTGAAGTGCAGGGAAAACAAAAGGGGAAACTAAGTGTCTCCAGTCAAATTTAAGTAATCAGTACATGTGTCTTTCTTGCTTTCAGAGAGCATATGTCTGACAATGATTCTAAACATTTTGACAACATTTGTGAAGCTGGTAATCAATTTACCAAAAAAATTACCATGATCGAGTTGACATGTGTTCCCATCTTGGTTTTGCTGCTAGTGAACTTGAGGAGAGGAACCAAAGCAAAAGGAAGCTCAAATGATAAGATCATCTGATCAGCAGACATAGAAGAGCTTCAGCACAAAATATAGCAGAGACCCATGTTTGCATACAATCTTACAGGAATTATAAAATGATCCCATGTATACAAAATTGGAATATAGTTTCTCATGTTGCATGAGACAAAATTATCTCATGCACACAAAAAAAGTAAGTGGAACCCACTTGTTTTCTTTACATTTTTATGTGTGCATGAGACAAAAATGCAACATGAGAAATTATATTCCCGTACAAAATTGTTCACAACAGAAAAAAATGGTGGATATCAGCATATGTAACTGTATACAACTGCATGAATGGTCCTATAATCCTACTTATACCTTTTTGAAATCAGATAACGCAACCAGAGCAGTTATGCTAAGTTGTTAATACGAGTTGTTGCATCTCTTAAATTTTGGGCTTGGCACAATATAAAGTTACCATTTGTCTCCGAATTAAATCATCTTGTGTATGATAGAATTTGTTGCAATTTGTCTCTGAATTGATACATCTTGTGTATGATAGAATTGTCCAATATTAAACCCACGAGAAAGGTTAAAGGCTAATAAATGATGATATAACATTTTTTGACTATACTGATGATATAACATTGTTTCTACAGTACACCATACATGGGATGCAATGTATTCGAGTCACAAATATGAGAAACTTTCATGAACTTATAGCATGACAATTCAAACAACTTATTCACTTTAGTACCAACATATTTCCAAGTGAAAAACTTAGGATTAAAAAAATTAGAGGGAGCCTAACGGCAAGGTATTCTTACTGATGCAATTATTATGAGCTTCCCAGCTCCAGAAGAGCCACCAATGAGTGCAACAGTCAAACTAGGAACTATGGCAAAGCAACGAGTTAACAGATTTCGAATCCATGGCTTCAGTCGTAAATGAAGAAAACCCTGAAAAAATTATGGGGGGAAAATGCAAAGTAGAAATAGCATAAGATAAACAATGCTCAAAGTGAGTCCTTATCTAGGTGAATCAAAGGCAAATTTCATAATTATTAATCTCAAAGCTCATTAGGGACCATTAAAGCTCTTAAACGATATGAGAGGTTCATTGAACATGAAAATACAAGAATAGCAGCTGCATAGCCTGCCTTCATAATTTAGTTTGAAGAATTATTACTGTTCCTTCTTTATTTTTTATAAGAAAATGCAAATTACAAAATGCTGTACAAGGAGTTATTATGATTGTCCTATGGTAAGATATATCATATAAACTAAATTACGGTTTAATAGTATCGTAGATGAGCAAAAGTACTATTTTTTATGCAAAAAAATGTATATAAATAATAATGATAATAAACAGTATACCTGCATGACATACTGCCCTGCATATGTTCCTGTTATAGTGGAACTTTGGCCTGACGCGAGCAAAGCAATTCCAAATAGTTTTGAACTCCATTTGCCCAAGACATTCTGAGTATATCAGAAATTATCCTCAATGACTTTATGAGCACACTTTCCAACAAAATTGATATATGAAATTCAATGACTAGGTAAAATGTGATAGCATCAGTAAAAAAATAAAAAAAATAAAATTCTAACACTATAATATACACAGGGTAACAAAGACATATCGTGGCCTCACTTACTCTTAGTAGAAAGGAGGCCTTGTTCAAATCCAAATTCTGACAGTTCATCTGATCTTCTATACTCAAGTTTGAAGAATTGCAAACTGCACCACTTACGGAGATAATAGAAATATTTATGAGGAAGGCCACCGTAAGAGCAATGGCACTTTCTATCATGTAAAATCTGCAAGCGTCCTGTCAAAAGAAAAAAGGAAAAAGAAAAGAAAATTAAAAAAAGCAATGAGTGACTTCAGATACTGCTTTACCATAATTTAAACTTATGCCAAGGTTTCGCATTGCCTGCTGTTGACAAAGTTAGAACCTTAACAAGACCTTCCAAGAATAATTCAAATTCCACTTTGACCGAAAAATGAAAAGTTAAAAAGTATGAGTTGTCAAAGATAGAACAATATCTCTTCTCTTTGAAGCACATGTCAATATACAGCTTAATGCTGTATTACTGTAGAATCTTATTTTAAAAACTGCATTATAAAAAAATAAAGAAAACAATGGCTTGTGAATTAATTATTAAATTATTATATGAAGATTGGTTTTATATCCCTAGCATGCCCCCTCTTGCCAGAGTCCTTTAGGTTTGAAAGTGACCAATTGTTAGGGAAGATTCAAAATTAGTTTTATGCCTCTAGCAGCTTAAACCACAAGATAATTGAAAAGATGTAAATCTTAACCAACATATTTGCAAATACAGGTCAGATAAAGACAATAATACAACTATATCGCAGAGAGCAAGGGTCAGATATTTTTAGAAAATAAATTAATAACTTTACTACATCTTGAACAATATAATACTGTTGAAGAACCTAATGCAAACAGGAAGGCCTCAAGTATCCACTGATTTTAAATGGATATTCAAAGTAGGCCAGATAGTTTGGGATAAAGATGATGTTAGATGGTGATGTTGATTCTAGGTAGGCCAACAACTTGGCAACTTCAGTGACATTAGAACTAGATCTTGTAATAAGTTTTAATGCATGCATAAAAGAGATAAATGTTTACTTTGACTCCACGAACTGATCGTGGTATTTTTCTAGAAAGCACCAGTGCTGAGTGGAGGAAGAGATTGTGCCTGAAGAAAATTCATAAAGAAACATAGCATTAGATCACATTAATGGAGAAAAAAATAAATAAATGGCTGCAGTAAACACAAGGAACTCACGGCATAACCATAGCCCCAAGAAGTGAAATTGCAAGACCAGTAGCACCACTCCCTTTAAGATCTGGAACAAAAAGACCCTTCGTAACTTCTCTCGCATCAGGCTTTGCATATCCAAGCTCAACCATAAAGCAAGCAGCAATTGTAAATACTAGAAATGCAATAACAAATTCAAGTTTCCTAACCTGTTAAACAACAACAAAGAAAAAGCGCTCATATTATTGTGATATATACATATATATATTAAACTACTGAATCATGGAAGGACAACCGTAGATTTGTTCAGGATATGTAAATTTATGTGCATCCTTTCAAACCATAGCATGATATCAGGTAACCATGGGGGAGATGGTTGTATGGAATACAGAAAACTACCCCATATTGCTGTAATGCTAAGAGGATCAATGTGCTGAATCCTGTCAGAATAACACCAATCCAAACAGGTATGTTGAAGAGCATGTTCAATGCAAAGGCTGTACCAATTACTGCATACAAAGAGTAGAAAAGCAATCTTAGCATCCAACTAAGATCAGCATAAAAAAAATGATTATGATAGGTACCACTTACATGTAGTACAAATAAATTAGCAACAGTTCAAAAATGCTAAATTCACCCCTATACCTTCAGGAATGTCAGCGGCCACTATGGCAATTTCAGCAATAAACCAAAGGATAAAGTTGGGCCCCCGAGAATATTCATTTCTACAATGCTCTGCTAAGTGCTTTCCTGCAAATAGCAAATAGAATTTTGAAAGAATTGATAACAAAAACAAAGGAAAATTAGCAACCATACCTATACTGATCAAATTTATTAAATTGATTATCAAATCAAGTACCAGTGACAACCCCAAGATTGGCTGCCATTGATTGAATTATAAGAGCAGCACATGACGCCACCAAAATGATCCAAAGTAACTGAAAAGATAAATGTGACAAAATATAAACAGGAAGACTTGAGCATAGCATTCAAGGACATAATTGCTAAGTGTACAGAACAATCATCAATAACAAATAACTGAAGTACAGAACAATCACCCCAAGGATTTAACTAGGATCTGACTGCATCATTGGAGGCATAATTAATAAGGACACCAAAAAAAAAAAACATCGTCCAGCTCAAAATGTTGACCTATTTTGTAGAACACAAATATAACAAATAATTGCTTGTGGCTTTTACAAAATGCCAATTGAGTCAGGTAAAGTGGCTGTTAGAGTATAATATAAATCATTAAAGAGGCCCTTACCTAATAGCTTAAGTTTTTGGGTTGAAATGATTCTTTACATGGTATCAGAGCCTCGGTGTCCCAAGTTCGATCCTCGCCGCCTCCCATTTTTTTTGTGGAATCTCTTAGCACAGGTAGGCTGGATCTGATGCATCATCCACCTCTTAAGTCCAATGGGCTCTCTTATGAGGGGGCGTATTAGAGTATAATATAAATCATTAAAGAGGCCCTCACCTAAGCTTAAGGTTTTGGGTTGAAATGGTTCTTTACTGTGGCAAACGGTGAATAATGGGCAACCAAGTATACATGCTACATGACTTCAACATCTTAACTTTATATACCAGTTCAAGACACATGTAGTCTAAATTGGAAACAAAATTATATTTCAAAGCTGAAGCAACTGCATGAAAATACACCGTAAATACCTCATATTTATATTGTGCCCCTGATTGAAGATCTGTCTCAACTGCAAGTTATTGTAAAAATACAATAAGCATATCTATATTAGGAATATATTTCCATCAATTTCAGAAGAAAATCATGAATAAGTGATCTTACAGTTTCCTGGGTCTATATATGCAATGGAAACAAGAAACCCAGGCCCCATGTATGTAAAAAAGTTTTTCCAGCTTCTATTCTGCAAAATAGAAACATAAATAAGTGATGGACATCAAGCAAACCTCAGTTCACGCCAATTAACGTATGTGAGTTAGTGGAATGTACTTTGCAATCAAATCACTAACTCAGAATGCACCATTATTAAACCACAAATTCGAAAAAAAAAAAAAAATTCAAATTAAAAAAAAGGTCATGAGATCATTTAATTTGAAGAGAAGCCTCGGCACAATAGTTGGCCAGATTCAATTTATTTAATCATTCATTTACAAATACAATGTAAGACTGTGTACTATAAACCCACACAATGAATCTAACCCTTCCCTGAACCCTACACATAGAGCTTTATAGCATTGTTGACCCTTTCTCATCCTTTTAATTTCATGAAGTGCCAAATGAAAAAATGATTTTTTTTTTTATTTTCATTTTAGTCAGAAGTCAACTCAATTTAATTGGAAATTTGCTAAGCTACTAGGACTCAAACTGACTAGAAATTATCTATTAACATTACATCACAATAGTTGTGATCCTGTAATAAAATTATGATTCATGTCACTATTTGAATACCACAAACATTTTTAATATCACTCTTTTTTGTTTATTTGCGATTTTTTAGTCATTCTAGCGAGTTCGCTTGTGTTCAATTCAATTCTGTTACTCATACATGACATAAGAATATCACAGAGTTACTCTTAAAATTAATTTTATTTCCTTAAGTCGACTCAAACATCTATTTTCTGCCACTTTCCGTGTCGCATCTTTTCAGTTCCATCGTAGTCATAAAATGAAATAAAATAAATTAAAAAAATTTAGCATTAGCATATAAACAGAGGATAAACCATCCCGCTCTGAGATAATAAATCATTAATCTTAAAGCAATATTCGTCCATGTCATACTCATACAGGTTATTTAAACTCAAAGCAAACAACTCAGAAGCTTTAGGAGATTAAATGTAAAACCAAACTCACATCAGGGACAATAATTTGATTAGTATCCGAGTTTTCAATCAGCGGCGAATTCGAAAAGCTCCCGTTACCGTTGCTCACAATGAATTGCGGTTGCTCAGAAGTTGAATCGGTTGTAGCCATAATCTCTTACTCTTTTTTACACCCAAAACTGATTTAAAAAAAAAAAAAAAAACAAAGACAAATCTTCAGTGAAGTGATTACAAGTTTTTAGATTATTTATAAAAAAAATAAAACAAAATAAAATAAATATTTCTGAAAAATAAGATGAATGATAGAAGGAATGAAAACTCAGAAGAAGCAAAAGAGAACTTGGTAGCAATTGAAGAATGGAAGATTCAGAGTAGTTGTCATTCAGAAGAGAAAATTGCAATTGCATAGATAGATACCAATAAGAATAGGTTCTGAGCAGTATGTATGTATGTATGCAGAAGAACACCGCCCACCTTTTTGAAATACAACACTCTTTTCTCCGAGCTGCTACTTTTGACACTGTCCTGGAATTTGGCAACTCTAGTTCTTATATCACCTATTAGGGAATAATAAATATTTAAATTTTAGTAGAGGCAGTATATTATAACAACTAATAATTAGTTTTACTATATTAATAATGTTACTATTAATCAATTTCATCGTTAAATCGATTGTGTTCACCTAACGATTATATTTATTTTCTTGATTCCCTATATTTAATGTAAAAGCATTAAATATAAAAAATAATAATCATACAAAGATGAAAATAAATATAAAATGTTAAATATGAAAAATCATAACTATACAAAAATAAAAATAAATATAACCGTTGGATCAATATAATCAATTTAACGTTAAAATTAATTAATAATAATATTAATTAATTGTTATAATATCTTTCCTATTTTAGTGTTATTAAATTGAAGCGGTGACTTGTATCTTATTCAATACCACATAGTACAGATGATTTGGGACCATTTCAGTCATTCACTTATAAATTAATCTCCTTATTTTATAGATTCATTCCTGAAACAAAGTAATTGTTTATGGGTATTGGTATTTGTCATTTAACTTTTTGTGAGGTTTACATTTTTTGAAAAAAAAAAAAAATTACAGCACGTAAAACAAATCTCTTACACAATCGTTTTTCTTATGACATAACTCTTATAAAACTCTTATTTATATCATTAAAGTAAAGGCCGAACCCACTCACTTTTTATTTTTCTTAAGATAAACTATATAGGTATTCATGGGAGGCATTTTGTTTCCAGCTGGTTCAGGAATAAAATTATAAATCTCTTTTACAGATGATATTCGAAAAAATCGAACACATATTCTTATATTTATCTTTATCTGCTCAATTTTCATATGGAGACTGAGCTACTATTATTTAGTGTTATCCACCCACTTCTTTATATACACATTGAACAACTTTTATTTCAAACTCATTGAGGAAAAATTTAAACTCTTAAAATAATAATAGTGAGGGTTAGGATATTTCGGTGTATATTTTTTAGGACATGATTCTTTGAAATTGGTATCAAATTAAAAAATTTGATATCAAATCTTAATCGTTAATTTTTGGAAATCGAGATTATATTTATTAATTAATTATTAATTTTCAATAAATTATAACAATTAAATTGATAAGATTTGATGTCAAAAAATCTTGTACCATTTTTTTAATGTATATTTTTGTTTTTTTAATACCGTTGATTATAATCTCAATTGACTTTTTTATTATTAGATTATGATTTAACGATATTAAAAAATAAATAAAATAAATAGACATAAAAAGATAAACATAATACCTACCCCTGATACTTAATACCTGCTGATTTCTCTTTATATTTTAAGGTTGTTTGGTTACCGTCGTCATATCACGTGTATCTGTTTCTTTCTCTATCTCAGCAATTTGTTCCTTCTTCATACTATTATTGAAAAGGTCACGTGCAACATGGAGTCAGATCAGATCCTCACTGTGAGGAAATTTTCTTAGCTCTTAACATTAAAAATGTAAAAGAAATTATGACGATGATACTAAACGTATACTCAGTTATAAGGTCTAGTCAAAGAATTTATTAGTAGACTACTTGAATAAGATATTGTTTCTTCATATTAATTTGGCTTAGGTGAACTACCCTGCGTGTGTTTTGAAAAAACTTCCGTGTTTCATATATAAGGAAAGAAAACTGGTAAACATTTGTGACGTATATATTATGCAAACGTTGCTACCTCTTACGGGAAAGGGGAAGAAGCCATTTGCGAACTCGTACATAACATATATAAAAAGGAAAAATGTCTATCATTTAAGGATGGTCCTTTGAGATAAATGTAATGTATTTTTTAAAATTTGAAATTATAAATTTTTCTCTCCACTCTCTCTCTTTCATAGTTTATTTCTTTATCTCTCTTAAAAGGATATAAGTGTGTGTCCTTTTAAAGGACACACACTTTTCCCTATATAAAATATGGTATTGTTTTTCATATTGTCTCATATAATAAAAAAAATAAATGAGACCCACTAAAAAAAGAGAAAAAGAAAATAAGTTAACCATACCTACTTTTTTTGTGTATTACATATTATAAATTATCTCATATAACATAAAAAAATAATAATCGCATAAAACAATTACTAATCTGTAGGTTACACATGTGTTTTACGAAATTTAAATTATATATTTTTAATATTTTATTTTTCCAACACACATAATAAGCTTCAGTTCTTGACAATAAGAAATAAAAAAGACAACGATATTAAATCTTGGGAAAATTAAATGTTTAAAAAAATGTCACGTGACCTACAAATAGTAAAAATAACATAACAAATAAGTTCATTCTATATATATATATATATATATATATATATATATATATATGAGACATATAATATGGAAAAAGGTCAGATTTTAAATTTGACACCTCATCTCATAGCCGTTAGATCAAAAAAGATCAACGACTTTGATTTTTAAGCATGTGACAATTTTTTTATCTAACGGCTATGATGAGGTGTCAAATTTGAAATTTAACATAACAAATAAGTTATATATATATATATATATATATATATATATATATATATATATATTAAAAAATTAAAAAATGGTATTCAGTAAAAAAATAACATAATAGATATAAGTCGTTTTCAAAAATAAGTAAAAAAATGTTGTCTTAGTTGTAATTTTGTTAATGGAGTTATTCCCGTTAAATGAGAGTGTTTATTCTCGTTTTTTTAAAAAAACAAAATTCAAGTAACTAATTTGATTTAAAGTAAATTCAAAATTAAGATTTTAAATCTCTTTTTAAAGATAATACTGAATAAAATCGAACACATATTTTTATCTTCACTGGTTAATTTTCGTACAACAACTGCACTACCACAATAAATTTATTCTCGTTCTAGAAGTATTGTCTTATGTTCTGTTTTACTCCTTTTTATCGCATTTTATAAGAAAAGCAGGCGCAGGCAAGTTGCCACGCGGACAAAATCTCAACTGTGATTGGTGGGACCCTTGTGGTCAAAGTTTCTAGCATTCTAGGTTGAAGTACAGTGTACGTCTGTAAGATCCTCTGGGTCCTACGTCGTCCTTGTCCTCTGCTTTCGACACGTACCACGTTTCGATTCTTTAAAAGGGAAAGCTCCAGCAAAACTCAATGGACGGCTGATATTATAGGTATCTATACTTTGGACAAATCTTTAGTGCTACCGGGTATTTCCTTTTTTCAAATGTGAAAACTTTTATAACATGACTGAAAAGAAATTTGAAAAGTGGAAGAAAATTTTCCACATTTGGAAAAAAGAAAGTATCAATTTGGATACCTTTGTAGCATTAAAACTTGGTTTTTTAACTTTGTTGTCCCTCATTAATTAATTAATAATTATTTTGTTCTTTATCCAGAATTATTTATCAACATGTCCCTCTTTAATTGATTAACTTGAATATTTAATCGATTAAATGATCAAAATAAAAAAAATAGTTGACTCGAGATTTAATCGATTAGATCTCCCTCTTTAATAGATTAACTTGAATATTTAATCGATTAAAACTCATATTTAATCGATTAAATATCCTAAATGAACGTGAAAACATTGATTGAATGAGACAAACAAGGAAAACTCGCTACGTTCAAAGAGGATGATGATTAAGGTTTAGTTTACTATATTGATTAAGTTTTGGCTGCCCCAAGTGTTCATTTGAAATCTGTCTTACTTGCTGTGAAGAAATACGAAATGGAAGTATTTCACCCCAGTCTGAATTGAAGTTTGAATATGTTAATAAGGGCAATTAGTACATGCATGGTGGTCATCCTCAACCAGTATATTGTGATTTAGGGACTTCAGATGATACTATTGAGATATATATTGATTGAAATGCTAACAGTGATGGAAGTATTAGATGTACTCCAAAAGAAATGAGGGGTTGTGCTGACTATGTATTGGAGCTGAAGTCCATACTTCCAAAATGGATGGATTTCTAAATTGAAAGCCAAAACTCGTGACATGTTGAAGAATTTTTGCAAAATTAAGCACAAAACTCTTCAGAAAGAAGCAATATTAAGCAGCAAATCTATTATAAGAGCTGCTTTTAGAGATGGCACGAATGATAATAATATATATTGTCCAGTGTCAAGTGACTTGTCAAAAGAAGTGTTATTTCTCTTCCAATAGCATTGGATTAAAGGTGAACTAAGAATTTGGATTCAGGGAACAACTCAAATGCGTTAATGAATCAAGATTGGTTTTCGCTACGCACTGAACCAACGAGTTTTCCTTCTTTGTCTCATTCAATCAATGCTTTCACGCTCATTTGGGATATTAATCGATTAAATATCCCTCTTAATCGATTAAAGAGGGAGATTTAATCGATTAAATCTCGAGTCAACCATTTTTGCTTGTTTTGACCATTTAATCGATTAAATATTCAAGTTAATCTATTAAAAAGGAGCAGATTGGTGGATAGTTTTGAATAAGGGGCAAAATGGTTATTAATTAATTAATGAAGGGTAAAAAGGTCAAAAAGCCACTAAAAATTTGTCCTTAAAAATATTAA